TGACCTTTTTCATGTATAAGTTCCTGAAGAGGAAACTTAGAAGTGTTAGCACATGTGTAAACCTTCATGGAGTAAACACTGAAATGAAGATTTCAGTGTTGAGCACTATAAGAACCTGTCTGGACTTCACTGTGGTTCAGACGAGTTTATAAATTGTAATCCCTGGGAAGAGTTATTGGAATTCTCACAAGGAAATTCCAATCTACCACTTCCAATGCAACTCACGGTGAGAATAAAGGGAAAGACATAGCTGCAGTTTTGGGGAGCCAAGATGGTCCTGAGTCCAATAGGAACAAAAGCTAACCAGAACAAAGGCCAAGACCCAGAGCCAAACTCAGGTTTTATTAATTTGTGAAGAGGGGCATGGCTCAGGGTTGAGTGACTGTGAAAATGGCAGGAACTATGTGAGTACTGAGAGCTGGGCTAGGTAGGAGGCACATGGCACCTCTGCAATATACGGGTAACAGGTAGCCTCTAAGTTTGAAGGAATCTGCATAACATAGATTGAGGAAATATCCTGTATTTTGGGTCAGCTGCTTCATCTCTGATGTCTAACCTTTATTGCCTTAGAACACCAGTGCCTTTTCCTTGAGGCTCCATCCCAGGGGACAGCGCAGTCTCTCAGTCTAGCTCACACTTAGTATTAGGGAACTATGGACAGGGCACACAGACCTGTCACTTTGCTTCAAAGGCTACACATCAGCACTTCAGCTGGACCCATCTGCATTTGCTTAAAGCCAGTCGAGGGGATAGAGCATTTCCCTAGCCAGCTCTGTACAAATCAGTACAGGAAAGTAGGGCAAAGGTGAATTAAAATGGAGAAAAATTGTCTTCTTTTTTTTTTTTTTTTTTTTTTTTTGGTTTTTCTCCGGTACCGGGAACCGAACTCACGACCTTGCGCTTGCCAGGCAGGCGCTTTTGCCACTGAGCTAAATCCCCAGCCCCAAAATTGTCTTCTTTGAGGGGAGTGATCCCAGTGGCCCTCCACAGGGCACACTGGTGTATACCTATAATCCCAGCACTCAAGAGGCATGAGGGAGGAGGATAACCATGAGTTCAAGGCTGCCCTGGGTTACAGAGTAAGTTCACATTCAGCCTGAACTACATAACAAGACCATGTCTCAAAAAACTAAAAATAAATAAATAAGTTTATTTCAGGAGACTTGCTTTTCAGCCCAACTTTGTCAGCATAGCAAAAAAGTCAAGCATATAGACCCTGGAGTTACACAGCTGGGTTTGAATCCTGTGGCAGATTCAGCATTTTCTAGCTGTTCATCCTTGGGCAAGTTATTTAACTAAGTCTGACTTCATTTCCCAAATGGAGATAACTATATGCCTCCTAGGGATATTGTAAAGAATACATGAGGTAACACATGTAATGTGTTTAGAATAGTTTCAGGCACATAGTAAGTGTTAAATAAATGTTAGTGTTGTAGTTAGGGTTTACAAAGGGATGTATTTAATACGGAACACATAATTGTATCAGGAAAGCCTGCATGATAAGCTTCTCCAGGAGAATCAACAGCACACCAGGATTTTTTTTTGGTACCAGGAATCAAACTCACAACCTCACGTTTGCCAGGCAGCTACTGTGCTGCTGAGCTATATCCCAGGCCCACAGGATTATTTTATAACATTCACCCAAAGAGTCAAATGCAAAAAAGTGTGGGAGATCTGGCCACACACTAGAGACCCAAAGAATCCAGCTGAGGGCCTGGATCCCATGGCAATGTCTTGCACAAGTCCAGCTAAAGACCTAGAACCCATGGCAATGTCCTCCATGAGTCCAACTGGAGGACATAAGCCAAACATCTTGTGCAAGTCTGTATCAAGGATCTGCACTGGGAAGGCCCAAAGGTCAATGGCAGAAGACAGAAAGTCTGCCAAAGTGAGATGAAGGACCTATGCCAGCAGGCTGAGGGATCTGCACTGGAGCCAGGAAGCAGCACTCAAGGTAAGGACCAGAGCTTCCCCAAAGAGAACTGCAGCCATCCTCTGCTACAGTGAGGACCTGAGCTCCTCCAACAATGAGAATAGCCAAGTTTGTATCAGGAAAGCCTGCATGATAAGCTTCTCCAGGAGAATCAACAGCATACCATCTTCCCCTCCTGTTCTCTTTTTCATGCTGTTGGCAACAGTCCTCAGGTAGGCCTTCCACACCCAGCATCAAGCTGACTCAATTCAGCTGGGTGTTCCAAGTTGACCATTAGTTAATCCACCACAATTAGGAATTCATATTACCTCAGAACCTTAGTTCATGTTATTTTTTCTACCTGAAATGTTCTTCCCTCTGACTTTTTGATATCTACACCTAACTCCTTCTCCAACTAAATGCCATCTCCTCAGACAGACATTCCCTGACCTTACCTGGGATAGGTTCTCCCTCATGCCAGTCTTTCTGAACCACAGCTTCCTTCATAGTGGCCAAATAATATATAATTGATTAATTCACTTGTTCAACTGTTTGTTGTCCTTGAAGGCAGAATGCTTTTGCCCAACTGAGTAGATACTAAATGCAAGTATCTACCCAAATAAACAGTTTTTGCGTTTTTGTTTGTTCATTTGTTTTTGTGGTACTGGGATTGAAAACAGGACTTCACATACGCTAGACATGTACACTACCACTGACCTATATCTCCAATCCTTTATTTTTATTCTTTTGAAACAGGCTCTCACTAAGTTGCCCAGGTTGGTCTCAGATTTGAATTCTCCTGTCTCGGCCTCTTGGGTTGGAGATTAGAGGCATGTATCATTTTGCCAGGCTGGTCTAATTTTTAAACCTTCCTTTCCACAGAAATCTGATAGCTGTACCTACTTGAACACTTCAATCACCCTACACTTAATGCATCTTTACCACCAGAAGAACAAATCAAGGCTTCTATAAGAGGAAGAATATGCACTGTCTCTCTCTTTGGTTTCTAAAAACACAGGTAGTAGTAGAGATCAGAGAAGGGTGGAGGATGGCTTTTCAGAGATGTAAATTTCAACTTCACCCTTTACTGGCTATGTGAACTGGAACAACTTGCTTGTCTTCTCCACGTCTCAGTTTCTCATCTGAATAATGGAAATAACAACACCTATTTTGTAGTGTGTGTTATGAAGATTAAAATAAAAATGCTCACGTTTTAGTGAATTTGTGGTTACTTGAGGGCTACCATCTTTAAAGAATAGTAAAGATGTTCTCCCCTGCCTTAAATCCCCTTCTCCCTTTCTGTCTGTCTGTCTGTCTGTCTGTCTGTCTCTCTCTTTGTCACTCTTACTCTCACTCTGTCTCAGTCTGCCTGTTGGTCTGTGTATCTGTTTCTCTCTGGCAGTGCTAGGCATCAAACTGAGGGCTCATACATGCTAGTGCTATAGCACTGAGCCACATCCTCAGCCCCAGAACTCATCTCTTAAAGACCTGGCATCTCTGGTGATCATCAACCATGGAAAGACCAGGCTAGCTAGGACCAGGGACCTAAAAACGTGAGGGCTAATTGAAGGTCATGGGAAACAGGAACAGAGAAAAATAGGAAAGTGAGGGAAATGCAAAAGCTGCCTTCAACAGCTTACGAGCTATAAAAAGGCCCTCTGAGGAGGGTCAGGAATGCTTTAGATCACTTCATGAGACCAGATGCTTTTGCTAACCCTTCATCTTGGAAGAGGGCATTAAGGATGAGTCAGCAAAGGATTTTAAAGAAAGCCTAAGGGAACCAAAGGAAGCCACAGAGACTTTGGACAGTAGGGAAGAGAAGTAAGAGGGTAAATTGGGTGGACTTGATCCCTGCTGGAGGTGGGAATGGCTGGCACAGGTTGGGGAGGGCTGAGAATGTTGCGGGGCCCTGAGCTGAGAATCAGGCTAACTGTGAGGAGGTCAAAGAGAAGCAAATTTGGGCTGTCTCAAGGGAATATTCTTCTACTAGGTAAATCTGTCTCTATTATTCAGGCTTATTTTTGTGTTGCAAGTGACAAAACCTCAAATCAAGGAATTTTAATGAAGAAAAACAGAGGGAGAGAGAGGGAGTGAGAAAGGGGGAAAGAAAGAGAGAGAGAGAGAAAGAGAGAGAGAGAGAGAGAGAGAGAGAGAGAGAGAGAGAGAGAGAGAGACTATCTTGGTGCATATACCTAAATAGTTCAAAATAGGGCCTCAGGGGCTAAGAACTTGAAAGATGTCACTGGACATCTCACAGTCCCTTTGCCAGTTTTCTTTGTGTTAGCTTCATCCTCTCATTGGGCAGATAGACACTGTAGACATGGCTGCAGACATGCATCTTACCCTAGCCACACCAAGAAGTGATCCCAACAGAAAGTGTAGATAGCCCCAGAGAAGAACCCTGATAAGTCCATCTTGGGTCACTGGCACATTCCTAAGCCAATTACTGTGCTCAGAATGAGGCATTTGGATTGTCAGGCCTGGGTCACATGCTGAACTGTATCACGTGACCCAGGAAATACAAACTACTCTAAATATCATATTTAACAGAAGCAATTTTTTGGATAAGCACAAGTGATAGAAGGGCTTCCAAAGCCTAGGGAAAAGTATTGAAGAAAGACAGTATTCACCAACTTTTCAAATATGAAACAGGCCATATTCACCAACTTTTCAAATATGAAACAGGCCACTTCATGAGGTAGTGAGATGCTGCTCACTGGAGGTGTTCACCAAAGACTGAATGCCCATATGCTGGGAATCTTGTAAAGAGGCCTTGAACCAGAGGGTCTCCAAATCCCTTTTGGTTCTTACCTTGTGTATTGTCTAAAATATGACTCTGTTTTAGATCTATTTTTCCTCCCATAACTCTAAGCTATTTAGTGATGTGATCAGTAGAGAATAACAAATGTGTAAGCTGTAAGCATATTTCATTTGGAAGATGCTGAGGAAACCAGTACCATCAAGTGAGCCACTGACTGCATTTCCAGCTTGCATCTGGTCCTTCTTGGTAACATATTTTCTCTTTTGCCAGTAGTATCACTGCCAAAAATGGTCAGAGACTTAAAAGTTTTCTTTTGCTTTTTGACAGAAACAGCAAACTGGATTATTCAAGTTTTGTCTTCCCTCTTTGGAACTCCCAAAAGAAAAGAAATCACAAGAACAAATCTTGGCACAGAAAGAAAATGAGACAAAGAATGTAATCATAATACTAGTGAATGGCTTTCAGACCGACATCTGTACATTAAGAATATGTAAAAATACCAATTTCATGCTCTGACAACTTATTCTGCATCAGGGGTGGGGTAATGCCTTGGGAATGCCAAATGTCAAAGCATTACATAATGTCAGCTATTCATGTGCTCCTTTGATGAGATATCACTGAGAATGGAAATTCCTTAAGGGAAAAGTGTCTTAAAAGAGGGAGGGGAAAGCATAAGAAAAGAAAGGAAAAGAAGAAAGAAGAGATAAAGAGGAGACAGACTGCCCGATGAGAATAAAAGACTGACTATCTAAAGAAAAGTGAATGTATATATTTTTGAAGAATACATAAAGTCCCAAATCTAATCTACCATATGGAAGAGTTATTTACTTCTATTTTATTTTCTACAGTTGGAACTTCCATGTTTAATTACTTTTCCTTCACATGTGCAACAGCACAATTTTTGTCTGAGTCTTTATAATGTCAACAAAAATCTAAGAGTAAAAATTCACCCCAATCATATTGCTCAATAAATCAAATAAACATAATTTTTTGTTCCATGTTAGTTCTTCCTCAAATGCATAACAGAGCACAGTAGACAGCATAATATATGTAAAAATTTACATACTTTTGAAATTTTTATCATAAGAATTTCTCCTTATTATCATACAGACTTCATCCTGACTGCTTTAATTACTTACAAATAGAACAGGGCATATTGTATTATAATTTACTCACCCATTCATGTACTATTGTATTTTTAGGTCCCTCCTCTCTTCTTCATAGTTATAGGTGATACTTAATAAGCATTCTCACACATTCAATGGATTTAACAAACTTTTATACAGTAGATACTGTGTTAGACAGTAGGAATTATCAGAAAGGATCTTGTTTCAGGGTCCAGGAAGAGAAAGACAACCAAACATAGAATTGTGATTCAGAGCTCTCTGGCCTTGTTCCCCATTGTGTGGTTCCGGGAGTAACAACAGCATGTGGGGGTTGTTAGAATGGAAAATCTTGCCCAGGACATAGCTCAGCAGCATAGTGCCTGCCTGGTAAGCACAAGATCCTGAGTTCGTTTCCTGGTACCAAAAAAAAAAAAAGGAAAACCTTAGGCCTTGTCCTAGACCTACTGGATCAAAACCTGGATTTTCAATAAGATCCTCAGGTAATTTGTATGTACATGAAAAGTTTGAGAAATTCCGCCAATCCCAGTCACCTCCTGTTGATCTTGGTAGGTCACCTGATTGACAATTCCAAGTCCTTCCTGTCTTTACAACCTCTTCTCTACTTTCCCATAGCCACAAACATATACAAGTTTCTCCTATCTTTAAAAGTCCATTTAAAAAAACCCAATTTCTCCTTGCCTGGATCCCTCTCTAGTGTGACCCTCAAAAGAAGACTTTCTCTACAATCTCATCTCCCGTTACCTCCTTAATCAGAGCACCCTGGCTTCTGCTCTCATTTTACCTCAGACTGCTCTAAAGATGGGCTCTGCAGATATCCTGGCTGCCCATACATCCACAGTTTTCATTTGGCTTTTCTTTTGGTGTTATCTGACCCTATAACTGACCCTGTCTCCCACACTCTTTTCCCAAGTCACTACTCCCAGTTTTGTCTTACTTCTCTTACTGCACTATCACAGTAATTGATCCTTCTCCCCAGTCCTTTGCTGCTAGCTCCTAGGTTTGCCTTTTAAACACACTGTCCCTCAATGAGCTCATTTCTGCCCAAGGTTTCAATGACTGTTTCTTAGCTGAAGACTCCTAGTTATATAACTTATGTAGGGGTGGGGAGCGC